CATAACAAAAATTTCTTGGATGGTTTTTTTTTTTTGTGTTTTCAAAATTTGTTATGTTATATTACAATCCTTTGCAAATTCGGAAATCTTCAACATCATAACAAAGCTTATATATATATATTTTTTGGTTTTTAAAAGAGATCCCCAAAAAGTATCAAATGAAAATGACATTTTTGGATTTTAGTGAAACAAAATTCTACTTTTTATCGGTCTATTTTTTAAATTATTAATAGCTTGTTTGCTTTTGTAAAAGAAAATTATTTCTGAAACATACCATTTTGAAAATAATAATAACTTATATGCACAAAATAGATGATATAAATGATCTTAACGTACGTTTTAAGTCTGCTTGACAAACAAACAAAATCTTAACTGAGATGAAATTAAAAGATGAGAAATTAATAAAATGTTATTTTTCAAGTGTTACTTTACAAAAATGTCATATTTTTGAAATATTTACAAAAATACTATTTTTTCAAAATTATTTTTTCTTTATATTATTTATGTTTGGGTTAATTATGTTTAATTAGGGTTTAGTTTTAAGTTTTTATGGGGTTTTAGGTGTCAAAACATTTTTTAGGATTTAAAATTTTAAAATATATGTTTTATAAATCTATAATTAGTGGCATTTTTGTAAATAAATATCCCTAAGTAATATTATTGCAAATATGCATACAAAAAGTAGTATTTTTATAATTACCCCTTAGAAGATAGTATTATTTAAATTTAAAAATTTATTAGCATCTCAGATAATAAAGATAACGCTTAAAAGAGTCGTAATTGAATGGTTCGAACTTATTATCACAATACAGATCAAGAAATAAGATCAGATTAACAGTGCAAACTAATATTTATACATTCAAAACTAATTCCGAAATGTTTTTCCCATCAAACTCACAGCAGTACAACGTAACTTCATTCTTACGAAAGAAACCCCTATTAAAATTTGTTTTTGGGGATAAAGAGCATTCTGATGAAAACAGTACTTTTCAGAAATTTATGGTAACAAAAATCGATAATACCAAAAAATATCCGACAAATCTCTGATGCTCCACTGAGAGAATACATATTTATATACATGGTGACAAATTGACAATACACAGTATGTATGATGTACTATTCCATATGGCCTTGACCATATGTCTGTAATATCCGTGTATTGAATTGAAATAATTTCTAGATAGTCTTTTTCTTGTTGACGCC